TGGGGTTTCATGTTTGGATACCTTAAAAACCCCCTGTGGGGGGAAAGTAGAATGAGGGAATGGATTAAAAAGTTGTACCAGAGAGCCCTCCGCCGTTGTAATTGTAACTGGTGAAAAAAAAAACAGAGACCCATTTGGGATGTCAAATGGAACAAGACAAGGTTTGCACTTTGTCCCCCTTGTTGTATGTTATTTCATTGGGAGCCCTTGTTGTCCACAAAATGGAAGAAATAGAGATATAAAGGGAAATTCAGATAGGAGACATAGAGCATAAAGTGGCGGCCTTTGTGGATGATCATGTTGTTTTATGTGGGGAATCCCAGCATAACACTCCCAAAACTTAATGAAGTCGCTGAAGGAATATGGGGAATTTAAAAATTAACCCAACATAAAAAACTGAGATTCTAAATATAAATATTAGAGATGATGCGAAGTATTCAAAAATTCGATTCGGCTGATTCGGCGAATTCGAGGAATAAATTTGATTCGAGCGCGAATATATTCGCTGCGAATTTAACTTATAAAAAGGGTGTTTCCTAGGTCTTCAGAGAGCCTTTATATTAGTGCAGAACACTGTACCTTTAATTTAAATGCCCTTGGAGTCTGCGATTGGGGAAGAGAAATAATATGTCAGTCAGTATGACATGCAGATGATGAACAGTGCCGTCGATCTTAGAATCACCGCACACCTTCACTCATTTGGGCAGTCACGGGGCCAAAAACCAGAGTGTGTGGAGCCACAGTGTGGCGGTGGAAGGGCAGCAGCAATGGGGAGGCCATACAGCAACCCTATGACAAAATGATTGGAACCCACCAGCAGTGTGAGGAGACCTGAAAGTGGACATGGCAGAGTGTGGCGATTGGAGAACTGCAGCAATGGGAGGCCGTTACAGGGACCATGACACCACTCTGGACCTGCAGCAGCATGAGGAGGCGGTACAGGGGCCCATGACAGATTAAACGGGCCTGGCAGCAGCGCATGAGGTTGTCGGTACGGAGGCCCATGGCAGATTACGGGCCGTCCTGGCAGCAGCAATGGGAGGCCTATACAGCACCCTATGACAAAATGGAAACCACCAGCAGTGTGAGGAGGACCTGAAAGTGTGCACATGCAGGCCGAGTGTGGCGATGGAGACAGCAAGCAATGGGAGGCACCGTACAGGGACCCATGACAGACACTCTGGACCTGGCAGCAGCATGAGGAGGCGGTTTACAGGAGGGGGCCCATGGCAGATTACGGGCCTGGCAGCAGCAATGGGAGGGATCCGGAGGCCCGTAATCTGCCAGCACCCTATGACAAAATGGAACCCACCACGCAGTGTGAGGAGACCTGAAAGTGGCACATGGCAGAGTGTGGCGATGGAGACAGCAGCAATGGGAGGCCGTACAGGGACCCATGACACACTCTGGACCTGTGGCAGCAGCCATGAGGAGGCGTACAAGGGGCCCATGACAGATTTACGGGCCTGGCAGCAGCATGAGGAGGTCTTTTGTCGGTACGGGGGCCCATGGCAGATTACGGGCCTGGCAGCAGCAATGGGAGGCCCGTAATCTGCCAGCACCCTATGACAAAATGGAAAACCCACCAGCAGTGTGAAGGAGACCTGAAAGTGGCACATGGCAGAGTGTGGCGATGGAGACAGGCAAAAATATATACAGCAGCAATGGGAGGCCGGTGAATAATGGGAGGCCGTACAGGGACCCATGACACACTCTGGACCTGGCAGCAGCAAGAGGAGGCGGGTACAGGGGCCCATGGCAGAGTGGCGAAGCGTAAGCAGCTTAAATTGAAGGCCATACAGAGGCCTATGTTTAAAAATAATAACATGTTTGGGGCATGATTCATGCATGCGCGATTTAGTCAGTTGTGTCAGGAACTGGTGGTTTGAAATCCAGACTAATCCACGCCTGATTCATTTTCACAAACGGAGTCTCTCCACACTTTGGGTGGGGGTGGGGACAGTCGTGTCCGACCGCGGAGTTACAATACCTCCTGCCGCACTAAACACCGCTCCACGCGCTCTCGATGCCACGCTAATGGCCGGGTATGAGGCCCAGGGAGCCTTTCAGGGCAAAATTCAGATAGTTGGGGCCAAATGGGGTACAAGTTTCGTTGCCCAGTAGTCATAGGGGATTGTGTCTACCTCGGTTGGCCAGGGTAGCTGTCCAAGTAGGCCCAAGCCTGTTGGTTTGAGGTCCTGCTCCAGGTCCACCTGATGCTGCTGCTGCTGCTGCGGCTGGTTAGTTAGTTTTCCTCACTGCGCTGGTGAAGAAAAGCTACTCATCATCGACTGCAGACTGAGGCAGCCGCTGCTGGTGGAGCTGCCCTCTGCTTCCTACCACCCCAACCCCTCCCCTGCTGCCATGGCAGCGGAACGCGCGGAGCGCACAGGGCCCACACGTGTCTGAGGATGGACGTTGGCGCAGAAAGGCAGAGACCCAAACTGACTACATAGGTGGTTTTTATAGTAAGCGTTATTTTGGCCTCTCCCTCTCAGCAGGTGTGAAAAAAAGGCCACCATTTTTGAACGGTAGCGAGGGTCCAACAAGGTGGGACAGCCCAAAAGTCCATACCCTCTGTCTGATGGTTATTATTCGGCTGTCGCTACGCAAGCAAACCTAGCATGCCTATGGGGCCATTTGTGCCAAGGACATGCGAGGGACTCCCTGCCTCCATCTCCACAGCATACTGCCAACGGTTGCGTCTGGGTCCTCTTGTCTCCTCCTCCTCCTCTACCAGATGCTCCTGCTTCCTCCACTCCTGTCCGCTGAGTGGAAAAAAACCAGCCCATTTCACTCAATAATTCCTGAGCACCAATGTCCTCCTCTACCTCTCCTCCTCTTCTTCCTGTCCTGCCCCCACAGGGGTCATGTGGCGTTGAGATCTGTGCGCCAACGTCTCTACCGCACCCTGACCAGCCATTGTTAACAGCATTTGTTCCAGGACGTGCAACAGAGGAATGACGTCGTTCATCCCATAGTCCTGCCGACTCACGAATAGCGTGGCCTCCTCAAAGGGCCTGAGCAAGCGGCAGGTGTCGACGCATGAGCTGCCATATGGCTGACATCTAAGTTACACAGGGGAGTACCTTTATCCGCTTGTTAACATCAGGAAATCTGTGATGGCCTTTCGCTGCTGTTCGTAAAGGCGGTCTAACATATGTAGGGTTGAATTCCACCTTGTTGCAAACGTCGCATGATCCGGCGATGCTGTGGAATTCCGTTCTGCCGCAGCAGCTCAAGGAGGGTGTGCTTTGCGGTGTAGGAATGACTGAAAATGCATGCCAAAGTTTACGTGACATTTTTAAAGGATGTGGTGTTTGCAGTGGGGCAATGGTGGATTTTAGGTACCGCTCTTGAAACCAGATTGAACACGTGAGCCATGCATGGCGCATGGCACAACCTTCCTTGACGCAGAGCAGGGACACCAGCAGTTTCTTTCCCGTTGTCGGTCAAACATGGTTACGAGATTTTCAGTTTTGCGCGGAGACAGCCATCTGTCGAATTTCTCTTTCATTACACTCAGAAGTTCCTCCCCTGTGTGACTACGTTCGCCCAAGGCATAACCAGGTGCAGCACACAGCGTGACACCGTTGGCGCCCATGCACATGTGATATGCCGGTCGGGTCAGAAATGGGGACTTGGGCACGGGGGGTGGCGGCTGAGGACACGGCGGAAGAAGAGGTGGTAGAGGCGGACATCTTTGCTGGACCAAGGACGTGCAAACGTGGAGGCTAAAAGCGGCACAGGCCGTGACCTGTTGCTGGTGCGGCTGTGCCGGCACCACGTTCACCCAGTGGGCCGGTAAAATGACATGTAACTGTCCTGACCGTAGTTACAGCTCCACACAGGTCCGGCGCTGCCGTGCACTTTGGCAAAGACCGACATGCTCAATGACTGGCCCACCCCATCTCTTCTACATGTGAATGCAGGGCTGGCACTGCCTTTTTGGCGCAAGAAAAGAAATGCGCGCTTGGCACTCTCCACCGCGGCGCGGCACAAGCCCATCATTTCTCGGAAAGGTGCTGAGTCCACCACTTGGAAAGGGAGAGGGGACTGCAGCACCAGCAACTTGGACAGGAGGACGTTTCAGCTTCTGCACCGTCGGGTGCGTGCTCGCATCAAATAAACGTTGTCTCTTGGAAACGGATTCCAAGAAAGACTGCTGACGGAATCCGTGAAGAGGAGTAGAAGGAGAAGGAGCATCTGAACGAGCGGAAGATGCCAACGAGCGACAACCTCCCCTCAGCAAGAGGTGTTGGAGCCTTGACACTGGCTGATAGAGGGCGATTGACGTCGGGTGACGGAGCAAAGTAACTGAGCGGGTGATGGAGCGGGCGGGGCTGGGGCAGGCAGAGAACCGTCCGTATCTTTATCACGGTTTTCCCAGGCCACCAAATGGCGACGCTGAATATGCTGACGCAACGCTGTAGTCCCCAATGGGCCCCCTGGCCCCTGTACGCTTGACTTTTGGCCACATAGTCGACATACGGCTACGTTTTACTTCCTGGGGTGGCTTGACGAAAAATTGCCACACCGTGATTCGCGAGTAGGAAAACTTTTTGCCCCCGCTACTCCTCACTGGCTGACTGCTACTTCCTCACGTGCATCACCGGCACCACTACTGGCCGTGGTGGTAGGCTGCAGTGGAGCTGGTGCTACTACTCCGTGGCCGTTTGCCTCCACTGACACTAACTGCTGCGACCCTGCTGCCTCCGGGCAACCAACCGACTGTTTTGCTCGCTGCCAAGCTGGCACCTTCTTCTCCTGATTGATGCGGAAGCAAATAGCCTGATGACGGCGAGGCTGCCAAGTGCGATCAGCCCTCTTCATAATCAATTAGGGTCTCCGCCTCACTACTAGCCCCCTCGGCTGCGTGTGGGTCAGGAGACAGTCCTCTGTCTCTAGACCGGCTTCCGAACCGGCCACTCTCTCCTGCCTGAGTTACTTCTTCGCCTGGCTGCTGAAGAGGCGGATGTCTCCCCCCGTTACTGATGTCCGCCCTCTGTTTGCTCTTCCTCACTGTTAACAGTGGGGCTGAGCTCACAGCATGCGATACTTCGCTTGGTGAGGGAACACCAAAGGACAGGGGCAGGTAGAGGAACAACGTGATTTCAGTGGGCTTGCTCCCGGGCCATGCCAACTAACGGTTGTGTCTGACGTACCCACCGACCGTTGGCTGTAGGTGTCAGAGGTGACCTGGGAAGAGGTAAGACGATGTCCGAGCCAACCAATCGATGACGGACAGGGTTGTCGGTGGAGACACGACCGCTGGATGACACCGGGAGCACTGGCCTTGGCTGCGACTAGTGCTGCCTCGACCCCTTCCTCTGCTGCCACGTCTGCTCGCGCTCCTGAAACATTGCCTCCTCTGCCACTCCTCTGCGTGTTGTCTGACATACTCTTTAATTCAACAATTCTGTGTCCCTGAGTAACGATTCTGTGTCCCTGAGTAACGATTCTGTGTCCCTGAGTAACGATTCTGTGTCCCTCAGTAACGATTCTGTGTCCCTCAGTAACGATTCTGTGTCCCTCAGTAACGATTCTGTGTCCCTGAGTAACGATTCTGTGTCTGTCCCTGAGTAACAATTTCTGTGTCCTGAGTAACAATTCTGTGTCCCTGAGTAACAATTCTGTGTCTGTCCCTGAGTAACGTTCTGTGTCCCTGAGTAACGATTCTGTGTCCTGAGTAACGATTCTGTGTCTGTCCCTGTAGTAACAATTCTGTGTCCCTGAGTAACAATTCTGTGTCTGTCCCTGAGTAACGATTCTGTGTCTGTCCCTGAGTAACGATTCTGTGTCCCTGAGTAACGATTCTGTGTCCCTGAGTAACGTTTCTGTGTCCCTCAGTAACGATTCTGTGTTGTCCCTGAGTAAACGATTCTGTGTCCCTCAGTAAACGATTCTGTGTCCCTCAGTAACGATTCTGTGTCCCTGAGTAACGATTCTGTGTCCCTGAGTAACAATTCTGTGTCCCTCAGTAACAATTCTGTGTCCCTCAGTAACAATTCTGTGTCCCTGACTGAGTAACAAGTTCTGTGTCCTGAGTAACAGTTCTGTGTCCCTGAGTAACAGTTCTGTGTCCCTCAGTAACAATTCTGTGTCCCTCAGTAACAATTCTGTGGTCCCTCAGTAACAATTCTGTGTCCCTCAGTAACAATTCTGTGTCTGTCCCTGAGTAACAGTTCTGTGTCCCTGAGT